ACTTACAATAAGTACATTCGACCAGGAAGACACAACCTTGAAGAAAACAGAATCATAAAGTACATCAGGTTTCATAGAGCCAAACATTTCAAGTGCTACTCAACTGGCTTTAGGTAAGCCAGCCCTTTATTAGTATAAAAGTGCTTTATGAATTAATTGGTAAATTCCTCGGTAAAATAAGTATTTGGTCACCTACAAACAAACAACATTTCTGGCTCTCACAGACCTGTAACTTCTTCTTTAAGAGCCTCCTCTGTCCTCCACTCGTTAACTGTATTAATGGCACTTGTTTGAACTCGTTATCAGTATAAAAGACACCTGTCCACAACCTCAAACAGTCACACTCCAAACTCCACTATGGCCAAGACCAAAGAGCTGTCAAAGGACACCAGAAACAAAATTGTAGACCTGCACCAGGCTGGGAAGACTGAATCCGAGTCCATAAAGCCCCTCTGCTTTCCAAGACTACTTTGAGAAAAGGTTTGTTTTATAAACTTTTATGACCTTAATCATGAAGCTCTTCTGTTGTCAATCAGGTGAGTAATAATCTGAAGATAACGCGTGTGTGTGTGCATCCCCTCACCTATGTTTGTGTTGGTTTTGATGTTGCTGCTGCTGTCGGCCTTCTTGGTTTTGGCGGCAGGCTTGGCTGCCTTCTTCTTGGGCTGAAAACAAAAGACAAACATCGGCTCAACGACTCCTCGAGACGTACGAGTAGGGATGGGCATCGGTTGATTAACGGTACTACTACTACCCTCACCGATACCACTCATCAAACCGGTACTTTAATGGTATTCTTATCGGTTATTTTTTAAGGGAAAACCGGCAAAGAAAATGTAACTATAGCGGATAAGGCTTACCAACGTCATTGTCTATCCGCGCCTTTGACTATACAAAAACATCCCTTCGAGTCCGCTGTGAACGCACCTTTAGCGTTCTGCAGATAGAACTGATAGAAGAACCGATACCAGGGTCTTTGAAATGTTTGTCTGGGGCCCGTTTACTACCGGGGTTCGGGATCCAATCCAACTTTATTTATATAGCACATTTAAAAACAACAAGGTTGACCAAAGTGCTGTCCATCAATAAATATATAAATATCAGCATAAATAAATTTAGACAAAACCGATCGGACAAAAAAACTAATGTAAAAGCACGAGACAATGAAACCAGACAAATGAAGCTCAGCGCAAATTCAACCAGGAAGACCGTCTTTACTCATTCATTTCCTATGTCACTGCTCTCTCTCCTCTCAATAAGTGATCGGGGGGTCACTCCCCAGCTTAACCAATCACTTCGCTCTATTCCCACAAACCTATCATAGCGCTCCGCTAACCCTTTTAAATCTGCTCTCCCCTCTGACAGCTGTCATTTCAGGTGACTCGACGCAACCCCCCTCCTCCCCTTTTCACCTCTTGTCCCTCTGAACTCAGGGTCAAGCTAAGCCCCTCCCCTTCAGACCAACCCCAACTATCCATTCACCACCACCAGGGTCAAGCTAAGCCCCTCCCCTTCAGAGCGAACCCAACTATCCATTCACCACCACCAGGGTCAAGCTAAGCCCCTCCCCTTCAGACCGACTCCAACTATCCATTCCCCACCACCAGGGTCAAGCTAAGCCCCTCCCCTTCAGAGCGAACCCAACTATCCATTCCCCACCACCAGGGTCAAGCTAAGCCACTCCCCTTCAGACCGACTCCAACTATCCATTCACCACCACCAGGGTCAAGCTAAGCCCCCTCCCCTTCAGAGCGAACCCAACTATCCATTCCCACCACCAGGGTCAAGCTCCTCCCCTTCAGAGCGAACCCAACTATCCATTCCCCACCACCAGGGTCAAGCTAAGCCACTCCCCTTCAGACCGACTCCAACTATCCATTCACCACCACCGGGGTCAAGCTAAGCCCCTCCCCTTCAGACCGACTCCAACTATCCATTCACCACCACCAGGGTCAAGCTAAGCCCCTCCCCTTCAGAGCGAACCCAACTATCCATTCACCACCACCAGGGTCAAGCTAAGCCCCTCCCCTTCAGACCGACTCCAACTATCCATTCCCCACCACCAGGGTCAAGCTAAGCCCCTCCCCTTCAGAGCGAACCCAACTATCCATTCCCCACCACCAGGGTCAAGCTAAGCCACTCCCCTTCAGACCGACTCCAACTATCCATTCACCACCACCAGGGTCAAGCTAAGCCCCTCCCCTTCAGAGCGAACCCAACTATCCATTCCCCACCACCAGGGTCAAGCTCCTCCCCTTCAGAGCGAACCCAACTATCCATTCCCCACCACCAGGGTCAAGCTAAGCCACTCCCCTTCAGACCGACTCCAACTATCCATTCACCACCACCGGGGTCAAGCTAAGCCCCTCCCCTTCAGACCGACTCCAACTATCCATTCACCACCACCAGGGTCAAGCTAAGCCACTCCCCTTCAGAGCGACTCCAACTATCCATTCACCACCACCAGGGTCAAGCTAAGCCACTCCCCTTCAGAGCGAACCCAACTATCCATTCACCACCACCAGGGTCAAGCTAAGCCACTCCCCTTCAGACCGACTCCAACTATCCATTCACCACCACCGGGGTCAAGCTAAGCCCCTCCCCTTCAGACCGACTCCAACTATCCATTCACCACCACCAGGGTCAAGCTAAGCCACTCCCCTTCAGAGCGACTCCAACTATCCATTCACCACCACCAGGGTCAAGCTAAGCCCCTCCCCTTCAGACCGACTCCAACTATCCATTCACCACCACCAGGGTCAAGCTAAGCCACTCCCCTTCAGAGCGAACCCAACTATCCATTCCCCACCACCAGGGTCAAGCTAAGCCCCTCCCCTTCAGACCGACCCAACTATCCATTCCCCTCCACCAGGGTCAAGCTAAGCCCCTCCCCTTCAGAGCGAACCCAACTATCCATTCCCCTCCACCAGGGTCAAGCTAAGCCCCTCCCCTTCAGAGCGAACCCAACTATCCATTCCCCACCACCAGGGTCAAGCTCCTCCCCTTCAGAGCGAACCCAACTATCCATTCCCCACCACCAGGGTCAAGCTAAGCCACTCCCCTTCAGACCGACTCCAACTATCCATTCACCACCACCGGGGTCAAGCTAAGCCCCTCCCCTTCAGACCGACTCCAACTATCCATTCACCACCACCAGGGTCAAGCTAAGCCACTCCCCTTCAGAGCGACTCCAACTATCCATTCACCACCACCAGGGTCTAGACCCCGGGGGTTTCATCGGATCGGTTCTCTCCTCCCGAATGATACTCCCGCACAACGGGGCCTAATCGCCAAAACTCCATTCCATTCATTTGTTTATTCCTGGAAATAAATGTATTCTTTCATCAAAACCGTCTCTCCTGATTGAAATAGCCACAGACTGAAAACCTCTCATACATGATGTAAAAACATTTTAAAACACAACAAAATAGAAAACCCCAATTTAGAAAACACAGACTGATACGTGTTGTACGTGGTCTGCAAAAGATCCCTACGGAGAGATTCACTTCAAAGAATAGACTGGACGTCACACCCTGGAGAAGGACATAGTAAAAGCTATTTCAAAACGTCTTTGACTGCATGGTGAGTGTTACCTTCTCGTCAGCTTCACTGTCAGCATCGGACTCATCTGACGCTTCCTTCTTCGCTCTCTTTTTAGGAGGAGACGTCTTCTTCGCTGGTGTCCGCTGCCTTTTCACGGGAGCTGACTTTTTGGGGGTCGACTTCCCTCTGGCTGGCTTTGATTTGGGAGACTGAGAGAGAACACGCGTGTGGGGTTACAGACTGAATGAAAAGCAGCTCTTAGTGATCATTTCCCTTCTGACCTGAATTTAAATACAGGAGAGATTCTGGACAATATCAGTTTTTGTTATCATGTGATAGGAAGGCTATAAAAAGAATAGCATCACGGCATCTAGAGTTACGTTGTTTTGAAGAGGAGACTAGTTAGGACGACCATTGCACCGGCTATGATACTGAAATCTTTGTTAGTCTGAAGCAGCTTGTTAGCAGGCTGCCCCTCTCAAGATGTTCAACATTCAGCAGAAACATCCATGAAACCTTTGAGGCAAATACATAAAATAACCCCGTTTTTGGAAATGGGTCAAAACGTTAACAGGAAGGATGACATGACGTTTTTCACGCTTATCTCAGAATAAGTTGTTGCTTACAAATAACCGTTAACCAGGGTATATGCAGGAATACTGAAGTCACATGTAAGACCTTTTAAGACCTTTTTTAAGACCCTCCCCATACATTTTAAGACCTCATCGCCACTTGGAGTTCTAACCGGTTACCTTGGCGACATACTTTACCTCACATTGACTATATACAGTATTGATTGTGCTTCCTCCTTATCTTCCAACCATTTGGACGCAGACTTGCATTTCCCCATAACGATGTTGCTTAGCAACCGGCGTAAACGGACCTTCGCTCGCTATCAAGCAGTGAGCGTGCGATGTCCTGTTCAGATGACGTCAAATCCAACGGGATGCCATCAATAAACTACACAGAATCACACTACACACCTACGCCATGATTACATTCAGGCAGACTGTAGAATACAACCTCTTTGGACCATTTATATACTTATTGAAAACAAGCTACAAAATGTAACACCTTGGAAAATGCCGTTTCATACTTTTTAATAGCCTTCATTTTCGCTAAATTGATTTATCAACTTTTAATACTTTGTAAGACCCTGCGGACCCCCTGGAAACGTAATCACATCTATGTTTCTGTTGTGTAATAATGTGAGATCCATGTCCTCACCTCCTCCTCCTCAGACTCCTCTGACTTGTCGGACTGGTCCTCCCTCTCCTCTGAAGGTTTCTCCTCGGTCTCCGACTCCTTCGCCGCCTTCTCCTCTTCCTCGTCGTCGGCCGAAGTCGTCGCCGCCTTCTCCTCTTCCTCGTCGTCGGCCGAAGTCGTCGCCGCCTTCTCCTCTTCCTCCTCGTCGTCCTCGTCGCTGCTGGAGTCCATGACGATGGCTTTAGACTTGCTTCCCGCTTTGGTCTTCTTGGGACTGGACGAGGAGCTCCGGATTTTGGGTTTGCTCTTCTTGGCGCTGGCCTTCGAGTCGTCGCCTGACAGTCTCTTCTTCGACTTCCTCTTCTTCTTTACCGGCAGACGCTGAGGAACAAAAGACAAAAAGGCTTTAAAGGAAACTTCGAGGTGGAACGTTTATAATTAGAGCAGTTGGTGGAGGGCAGGCCTACACAGCAGGGTGACCTGAAAACCACTGACGACTAAAGAACTGTTTTTTCCACCAGGCTGTCAGAAGGCTGAACTCTCCCCCCTCCCCCTCCCCCTCCCCCTCCTCTCTCCCCCTGCCCCCACTGGACTATGAGTGCGTCTCACATCTCTTATTTTTCATTTCCTCGCTCCTCGGTATCACCGCAAGTTGATTTGTCTGCGCCATCTTGAGTAGCGTCCCAGTGGCCTTATTTGTGCCGGAGGACCGAGGATCGATAACCGAGGAACCACCAGACCATCCTCCGGTGAAATCCTCAGACACTAGCCCCGCCCCCCTTACTGTGTATCGCTCACTGATTGGACGATGCAGCGCATGCACTGATCTGGCTGCTGTCAGACGATCAGCTGTGCGGCGTCATCACAAACGGACGTCGCTTCACGTGACGCTACGGAGGAAAGGACGTCCCATTGCTCTTAAAACTCATTTCCCTGCTTCTCGTGGTTTCCTTGCGTCTCTCCATGCTTCCCTGGAGGGAGGGACTAGTCGCAGGGAAACGACGCAAGTGAGGGAAGCAAGGAATCCATTTAACCAAAGTGAAACGCAGCTTCTAACTCCCCACACACACACTCAATTCCAGCACCAGACACTTTTTACACTGCCATGGACAATCTTGCACTAACGCACATTCCCAAAGATATTGAAGATATTTAATGTGTGCATATGTATAAATTAGGGCTGTCAGTCGATTAAAATAGTTAATCGCAAATTAATCGCACATTTTTGATCTGTTCTAAATGTACCTTAGAGGAATATTGTTCAAGTTTTTAATACTCTTATCAACATATGAGTGGACAAATATGCTTTATGCAAATGTTTGTTTCATTTGAACAATGACAAATATTCTCATGAATATTAAACACAACAACCTCTGAACATTACAAATATTCGCCTCAATTCAATCTGGAACCTCTCATACAATAATACAATACAAATGGTGTGTGTGTGTGTGTGTGTGTGTGTGTGTGTGTGTGTGTGTGTGTGTGTGTGTGTGTGTGACTGGATCGTTGGAGCTATGTGCAACTCAAGGCATATGCTCGAACGGGAGCTGCCTGGACGCTGCAATCATGTTACGCGCACTATCCGTGCTGAGTGTGCTGACTTTTCGTACAATGTCCCACTGTCTGGCTACCTGCATAAAGTCAAGTGCTCGGCGCAGTTGTGACGAAATGTCGCTCCTCTGTTTTCATTTAAACAGCTCCATATCTGTTAGCGCAGCTAGCTAGCACCAGATGCTAACAACAACAATGCACGTAAGGTCTCTCTCTCGCTCGCTCGTGCCACACATACACACACCCTCCCGGTCCTCCCAACAGCCAGTCGGTGCCTGCCGGTGAGCGTGGAAGTGTGGTCTGCCACAAGCGGGCAGCAGGAGCGGGGCTGTCAGCATCAGCTTGTAGATGGTATTTTAAACTCGATGCGCTCTGAAACTACGGGGCGGCCGAGGACAAAAAATACACATGCGTTAATCGCGTTAAAATAATTAGTGCCGTTAATTTTTTTGTTGCGTTAATGCGTTATTAACGCGTTAACTTGACAGCCCTAGTATAAATGTGTTGATTGTGTATATATAGAATATACATATTTGTATTTTTGGGATACGGTCTTTCGAACCCTCTACACACACAAACTGAAAGATTGAAAATAAAGTGTACAAGGAATATGAACCGAAGCCTCTGAGCTCGTCTCACCTTCCCACTGTTTTTGGGTTCGGTGAGGAACGTCAGGATCCTGTCGACGAGATCCGAGTGGGTTCCTTTCTTCTCCAGATCCAGAACCCCGCAGACAACCTTCAGCTTGGTGTTGGTGAAGTTGGAATTCCTTCATTCAAAAACAAAGTGCAGTGTTATTATAGCAAACCCTGATTCCACACCTCGACTGAGCCGAGTCTCCGCCACAGACACTTACTTCAGAAGTTTTTCTCGTTTCTTTGTGAACTCTTCGCTGTCCGCGGCAAAGGGAAAGCCGTTAAACAGACGCAGGTTCTTCTTTAAAATCGCCGTCTGATGAACAAACAAAACATGTAGTTAAACATATTTTAATCTGCTTTATTTCACATTGGATGGTAACTCATAACAGTGTTAATTTTGGCAGCTATTTTTGATTTAGTCTTTAGTCGAAAATGGTTGTTAGTTTTAGTCACATTTTTGTCCTTCATAGTTTTAGTCGATGAAAAATCATTACATTTTAGTCCAGTTTTCTTTAAAATGTTTTCTCTCTTTAAACTAATTCAGTTCGGCAAATACAGGAATCTGAGATTGGAATCAAGGTGACAGCATCAAGTGTTGAAATTCGTAAAGCAACATTTCACTCTTAACACTTTTAACGGTACTACTACTCTTAAAAATCTGTCTGTTAGGCCCCGCCCCCGCACACAGAGAGAGAGAGGCCCCGCCCCCCGCACACAGATGAGACACAGACAGGGAGATCGCTCTTCTGGAGTGAAGAGAGCGGAAATAATGATATTGCCAGTTAGAAACGTAAGATGCATTTTGACAGACAAGACGGACACTTGGGGGAAAATACCCTGCATTTTGAATGTCCGATAGTCCTCCATTAACACCTTAGTCTCGTCTCGTCTCCTCAACGAAAACTAAATATACATTTCGTCAGTTTTTATCATCGAGAATCTATTTTTAGCTGGTCATCGTCTCGTCTTAGTCGTGTAAAAAAGGTCGTTGACGAACACTTTTCGTCATAGTTTTCGTTGACGAAATTAACACTGACTCATAACCCCTGAAATAAAATATTAAAATCAAGATTAATAATCAGTCAATCTGAACTAAATATGGAACAAAAGCAAACTCTGTAATATATGTGACATTCAAATTAAAAGTCTACTTTCTTTAGTTCATTTTATTATTCTTTAATTATTGTGTTAAAAGCTGGTATTTGTTCAGTGTCAGAAAAAGATCAGGCTACACTGATACCGTTAGCATCATACTATTAGTAGTTGACGGTAAAGTGAGAAATAGTGCCTCCTCCCAGACTGAACCCGTCTCTGAGTCGGTTCAAATGGTCTGTACCTTCCCCGGCCTGTCGAACAGGATGGCGTGCAGAGGCTTCAGGTCAGCCGTCTTCATCTTGGTGATCTTTAGACACGTGCGTGGAATGTCTCCTAACTTATCTCCGCTTCCTGAAGATATGGGAAACAAACAAGCGGACAGTTGTCATACACAGACTTGGAGTGCAATTTAACTTCCAGAGAATTCACACACTACTGATTAACTGAGTTTGTTTTAAATAACTGTACTTTAATTGGAAATGAATCATGTGTGGTCTCCTTCTTTTGTCCGTCCTTGAGCCAGGGCGTGACATGGGGGCTCGTCCAAGTCACATTTTGTTAGTATGGATTTTCTGTTGGAGTATCAGCTCCAGTAAAAACCTGTTTCAGCTATCGCTAACTAGCTCTCCAGCTGATTTGTGTTGTTTAAATTGTGGCATTATTATAAAAACGTCCAGGCCAGTTTGCAACGCCAGACACACGTGCTTTAAAACCAATTAGCAGGATCAAAACTCTAAATGTGCTTTTCCTTTCATACTTAATACACCAATGGTACCCTTGGTTCAGAGTGCTGGCATCGCTCGGTGCTGAAGCATCTGTCTCTGCTCGGTCACACTTTATTATTTACCATCTCCTATCTTGAGCTTCTCCTTCTGCTTCGGGGCCTGGAAGTCGAGCCTCTCCACCGTCTTCTTTGCCCGCTTGCCTTCAATGATTTCACCTGCAGCTGCAAGCACAGAGTGACAAATAAATCAGCATGACTCTACTTGAAATGACTGCCCATTATAATATTCCACGGACACGTGTATTTCCATGCAACTCTCTGATTGGTCAGGTGACTTGCCTCTGTTGCATTCACTGAACACGGGAAATTGCAGTCCTGCCGTCCTCTCTTGTGTCATGATGAGCTTCACGTAAAGCACGGTTAATGTATTATATTATTGAGGTGTCTCAAATATACGTCAATCAAGTGGCACGAGCTAACGGGGTGGTGGACGATAGGTTTACATCGAAACACGTATTTTTCAAACATTATTATTTTTAATTTAATTTATTTTGTTACTTTTGTTTTTAACGGTCCGCGATCTACCCGCACCACACTCGCGATCGACCGGTTGGCGACCACTGCTATAAAGGAACTACAGGCGAGTCCAGCAGCACGACTTCAACGTCACGCCAACTTCAGATCCATATTCAAACACACAGACTCTAAATGGAACGAGTTGAAGCGTTTGTTTGAACAGTCTGCAGGAGGCAGGGACTTGCTTTCAAGCAGAACAGGGCAAACACACTTACGTGTTCGGCGTAATGACGTACAACGGCCTCCACGACTTCTGTAGTCCTATTCAGCCACTTGGTAACAACCATCGTTTCTCAGACACGTCCACTCTTCAGAAATCACCAGTGCAGAGTCTTGTATTTATTAAGAAGACAAGAAAGAGGACGATATACTTTATTTACCCACAAGGGTTATTAGACTTTTTATTTTTTATTATTAATATTTTATTTTTCATTATTTTTGTATTATTACTTTTTTTAATTGTTATTTTCACAAATATTATTTTATTATTAGTATTTTTTATTTTATTACTATTATTTATTTATTTGTAATTATTATTCTTTTTTAAATCGTTATTATTATTATGGTTAAAGGGATCACATGTCAATAAAAACGATGCACTGTTTACTTGTTGATAGCCATTAATGCGTAATTGATGACTTGCATGATTAATGAAAAGGTAATTGATTACCTCGCTTTCAAGCTGTGCAGATTGGAGGTATTTTCACATTGATCCGTCCTAACACCTCGTACTGGTTGCACAGATCAGGGTTTATATTTCTTTGTTCTGTTTCTCATTTGATGTAAAGCGTCTTTGAGCACCAGGAAAAGCAATGAAATGTGTTATTATTATTACATGTGTGTGGTTTGTTATTATAGCACGTTCCAAAGGCGGGTTCGTTTAGCATGAAACACTTGAAATAACTGAAGGGCAAGTTAAACCACAAAGAGGAAAGAAAGGGAGATCATAGAAAACTATTTCTGCTCAAAAGTGAGCAATGATTGAGTCCGAGCTAAACATTTCAGATGCGTGTATCTCACACTGCTGATGGATTTAATGTCGTAGAACAAAACGCGATCCGTCTCTTCAATGTGTCTCAACCACAGACCTTATTTCCAAACTCCTATGGAGAGATCTCATTGGCTCTGAGACGAGGGACCAGGAAGCGGTGAAATGCTGACTCACTTCCTGGTTTTAGGACGCGTCACTGTGGCTCTCTATTGTGTTGCTCTGTGACCTCAGATGTTCCTCGTCATAACTTCCCTGCAGCCTTGAACCTCGAGGTGCGATTTGATTCTTTACCGGGTATTTTGGAGCTGCTTTTGTTTGGACTCGACTTGTCCAAACTCGACTGTGCCGCCTCCTGCTGGTCCTCCTGTGCCGCCTCCTGCTGGTCCTCCACCTCCTCCTCCGACAGCGATTCGTCCGCAGCCACACTCATATCTGCACGCCTGGCTCCGTCAGATGGTTCCTGACCGAGGAAAGAAACACGCGTTTATCTCCCGCTGCTGCTCTGGATGCTCTACGGACTCAGCTCCAGCTTTAAAAAGGCCTGTACCCAGATAGGAATTAACAGCTGAAATGAAATAAACGAGCGTCAAAGAGTGTCACAGCGCTGACTGATTATTCTGCTGTTTCAGGGTATTTGTGTTCATGTATCCTAATGCTTAGTGTACTGTGGTTCATTCTAGTTACTCTACTCAGGGATACATATTTTGATATAACATCAGTTGTGGGCCCTTCTCAAAGTGAACACATCTAAATAAAATATATAAGCAGATACTTCTACTTCCAGGTCAGCACCTATTCACAACCCGTAGCGTTTTATATATGTCTTTACTTTTGCTCATGTAGATTTATTAACAAGTCATTGATCTTCTGCTTGGGTAAAAGTATGCTAACCTGTACTAGAGTACTCTAGTCTAGATCTACTCTTTACTCTCTGCTGTACACTCTTTAGTTTCCGTCGTGGCTTCATCTCCACTCATAGATATTGTATTCTCCGTTTCAAATAAAGGGCAGTGTAATCAAACCTGGAGCAGACTGAGGAGGACCTTGCTTGTTAATCTATGTAATAATGATTTAATAGCACACATGCTTGTAAATACTATTTACATATACGCCCACTTTAAGCACTGCGTATGCCGAACAGTTATTAGACTTCTTATTATTCATAAAGCATAATAAAAAAGCATTGTTAACTCGTGTTTAGCAGGTGGGGGATATTCATTTCCCACGGTGTTTGGCAGACACTGTTAGCGCCACCAGGAGTTTAGGGTGACCGTTAATCCACTCGACAGAATACTCTCTCGAGTCGCATCCTAGCTTGTGAGAGATGAGTCGTGCTGAAGCTGTCTGGGTTTCTCAGTGAACGATCGGTTAGTATTTGCATGTCCCTCTTGTCCCCTGACGGTGGTGTTGTTTTGTGTCTCATTTCCTTCACAATAACGAGGCTAAGGATTGGCGCGCTGTGACTCCACATGTCGGACTGGATGCTACATATTACACCCAGACCCTTTTCTCATTATTTGTGTTGCTTAAATAGATCCCTTCTCTGTTGTTTATGCTTGTTTTGTAAGATGTAAACTGTTTATTGTTGATGTATTTGCACTATTCAATGTTATTGACCAACAATAAGTGCCTTAAATGTGGAAAATTGTAAATGATTAATACAAAATAAAACTTGTTAGCTAATGTGTGTTAAGTTAGCGCTCTATCATGCACGGGAAGAATACACACACACACACACACACATACAGGGGCGTCTGTTGTCCGTTGTTAACCGTTTAGCGGCAAAACACAAAACAACGTTTCCAACAGCTAGCCACATCCTGCTAATGTTAGCTGCCCTCACGTTAATCTCCACATTAAGGAGCAGAGGAAGCGATGCAACACACCCCGCATGACCGTCAGCCAGTATCCGAAATGTGAGTCGGTCGGTAAATCTGAGAGAATCTTTAAAAAGTTTACCTTGATATTGCGCCCGCGTCTCACTCTCTTCTGTCTCTGTATTTCAATTTCATGAAGGCGGTTTCTCCAGAGGGGGCGGCGCTAGCGCGGCGGCCGCTCCACTGATTGGTCTAAATGTCCACTGCGTCATAGTTCTTCGTTTTATTAAGGGTGGATCCAACACGTTAACGTTGCATTACCGCCCCCTGCTGATGCTACTGTGGACACAGCAGTCTTATTTAACTTCCCTCTCAAATATAGAAGAATCAGTGGTAAAAAAAACATATTATTATATTATATATTTCCTGAAAATATATTATATAGAAAACTAGTGGCTCCTGAATGTGGTGAAGTGTACACGATAAATTAGTGGATATAAATGACCTGGTAGAGGTAATATTTCTCAAGATTAAAATATTTAAAGGCAAGTTTATTTATTATATAGCACCTTTCAACACAAGGCAATTCAAGGTGCTTTACAAAAAAGACATTAAGAGCATTAAGAAACATATTATAAAACGAAATCTAAAAACACTAATTTAAAACAAAGGAACATGAATAAAAGTTACAGAGCAGTGTGAGATACACACATCTGAAATGTTTAGCTCTGACTCTCAATCATTGCTCACTTTATAGCAGAAATAGTTTTCTTTGACCTCACTTTCTTTCTACTTTCTTTGTTAACTTGTCCTTCAGTTATTTCAAGTGTTTCCTGCTAAACTAACCCGCCTTAGGAAAATTATAATCTGACCCCATGGTTCCTTTTAGTTATTTTTAAATGCACATAGTTGACCTTGTCTTTCTAGGACTTTTTTGGTATCCTCCGTGAACCAGGGTCTTGAAACCAAAACGGATTCCTGTAGCCCATGGTACCTTTTTAGTTTTCGCCCAAACTATTCCTCTTTTTGTACACATTAGTTAAGTTGTCTATTTAAAGGCTGTAATGTCCTATGCACAGCTACAGTGTAGAAATGGCAATAACAATCTAAAGTCCCTAGCTCCGCCAACAATGCAACATATCCTCCTGGGACCCAGCCCATTGTCCTGTAGCGGACATTTTGTTAACATGCATCTCCTTTTACTCTTTTGAGCTACTCTATCAGTCCCTGGTGTACAGAGGACATCTATCAGTCCCTGCTGTACAGAGGACATCTATCAGTCCCTGGTGTACTGAGGACATCTATCAGTCCCTGGTGTACTGAGGACATCTATCAGTCTCTGATGTACAGAGGACATCTATCAGTCCCTGGTGTACAGAGGACATCTATCAGTCTCTGGTGTACTGAGGACATCTATCAGTCCCTGGTGTACTGAGGACATCTATCAGTCTCTGATGTACAGAGGACATCTATCAGTCTCTGGTGTACAGAGGACATCTATCAATCTCTGATGTACAGAGGACATATATCAGTCCCTGGTGTACTGAGGACATCTATCAGTCCCTGGTGTACTGAGGACATCTATCAGTCTCTGATGTACAGAGGACATCTATCAGTCTCTGGTGTACTGAGGACATCTATCAGTCTCTGGTGTACTGAGGACATCTATCAGTCTCTGATGTACAGAGGACATCTATCAGTCCCTGGTGTACTGAGGACATCTATCAGTCTCTGATGTACAGAGGACATCTATCAGTCTCTGGTGTACTGAGGACATCTATCAGTCCCTGGTGTACTGAGGACATCTATCAGTCTCTGGTGTACTGAGGACATCTATCAGTCTCTGATGTACTGAGGACATCTATCAGTCCCTGGTGTACTGAGGACATCTATCAGTCCCTGCTGTACAGAGGACATCTATCAGTCTCTGGTGTACTGAGGACATCTATCAGTCTCTGATGTACAGAGGACATCTATCAGTCTCTGGTGTACAGAGGACATCTATCAGTCTCTGATGTACAGAGGACATCTATCAGTCCCTGGTGTACAGAGGACATCTATCAGTCCCTGGTGTACTGAGGACATCTATCAGTCTCTGATGTACAGAGGACATCTATCAGTCCCTGGTGTACTGAGGACATCTATCAGTCTCTGATGTACAGAGGACATCTATCAGTCTCTGGTGTACAGAGGACATCGATCAGTCCCTGATGTACAGAGGACATATATCAGTCCCTGGTGTACTGAGGACATCTATCAGTCCCTGGTGTACTGAGGACATCTATCAGTCTCTGGTGTACTGAGGACATCTATCAGTCTCTGATGTACAGAGGACATCTATCAGTCCCTGGTGTACTGAGGACATCTATCAGTCTCTGATGTACTGAGGACATCTATCAGTCCCTGGTGTACTGAGGACATCTATCAGTCCCTGCTGTACAGAGGACATCTATCAGTCTCTGGTGTACTGAGGACATCTATCAGTCTCTGATGTACAGAGGACATCTATCAGTCTCTGGTGTACTGAGGACATCTATCAGTCTCTGATGTACAGAGGACATCTATCAGTCCCTGGTGTACAGAGGACATCTATCAGTCCCTGGTGTACTGAGGACATCTATCAGTCTCTGATGTACTGAGGACATCTATCAGTCCCTGGTGTACTGAGGACATCTATCAGTCCCTGCTGTACAGAGGACATCTATCAGTCTCTGGTGTACTGAGGACATCTATCAGTCTCTGATGTACAGAGGACATCTATCAGTCTCTGGTGTACAGAGGACATCTATCAGTCTCTGATGTACAGAGGACATCTATCAGTCTCTGGTGTACAGAGGACATCTATCAGTCCCTGGTGTACTGAGGACATCTATCAGTCTCTGATGTACAGAGGACATCTATCAGTCTCTGATGTACAGAGGACATCTATCAGTCCCTGGTGTACAGAGGACATCTATCAGTCCCTGGTGTCTCTCTCAGATGTTGAGCTCTCAGATGATGAGCTCTCAGCTCTCAGATGATGAGAGAGGTGAGGATTTCACACCTGGGATAGAAGAGGGTCAAGAGGAAGGGGGGGAAAGATGCAGGAGGCTCCATGAGCGCACAGATACAGACAGAGAGACAGATGGGGACAAGCGGGGAAGACAGGTCCCTCTGTGGGCCAAGAGTAGCACGTATGTCTTATTGTTGTTATTATTTTAAGTGGAGCCATGAAAAATGAGAGTTGCCTCAGGAATGCAAGCTTTGTTTCTATGAGCAGGTCAGATGGAGACAACATCCATAAAACTAGTCAAGATGACCCTACAGCCCGTGCTGACTGGAGTCAATGAGGTACTTTCCCAGTACATCGACTACAAAGTGTTTGAAGATCTGGAAAGATTCACCAAAAACCAAACTAGTTTTGTATTGACCAAATAAACAGCAATGTTCAGATCAATTACCTATTTATGTTTTAAATAAAGGTGAATGTATATTGTATTAATATCACTCTATAACCACAATACGTTACATAGTCTGTTCGTTTTGGCTGTCTTTTCAAACTAAGATGGTCCTGACGTCCTCTACAGTGGACATACTGTAAATTGCAAGATGTTTTTTTTAACCCTAAATAGGTAGGAAATCACAAAAAAAAGGAAATTGGAAGACACTTGTTTGCCTCGGGTCCCAGGAGGATATACACAAACAATAAAACAAATTAAATCAGTGGAAACATTTACATCCGTAAATCATTTTCAACAATCAGTTGAAAATGCTCGCCTTCATCAACTGTCTACACATTCTGTTGGTTATAACAAAAGTATTTCCCCTGTTTCTCGTTCAGGTCTGAGAGGGTTAACTGTTGAGCCCGGTCCATCTCAACAAGAGTCCGCAGGCAGCCCATCATCCGTTCTCCCTGTAATCAGAGCACCGGGTTCCCTTGGAAAAACTCTCAAAGTCTTTCACGACAAAGTCAGAAAAAGGCCACAAAGAAGATGATGAAATGTTTTTCCACTCTTGGACTTCTTTGCGTTTATCACACCGGGTTGATTCATGTCCAATCAAATGTTTCCTTTGATTTCGAACATTTCTAAATACTTGGTGTCAGTGAAACTGTGGTAATAAGGTTTATGTGCATGTAGTCTTTATGAGATGTGATCAGATATTGTTGAGACCTTTGAGATGTGTTGTGATGACTTTAAAATGAAATGCATGTATAGCTTCAGAGGGTGGACTCAGGTTACTGACGGGGTCTGTGTGCAGAGGAAGAACTGACCCTGGGTCAGCAGAGGCTCTGCAGTGGACGTGCTTCAGAAGTCCTGTTGATGTGGAGACGCCTCGTACAGGAAAGAGTTTCATGGTTTCTCTGTTCTCCTTCATAAGGCAGCTCCCTGCAGGTGCTCTCTCTTTAGGAGGACGCCATGTTCACAAGATCTGTATATAAATAAATGAAAGCCCTGTACACTCATACAGGATGGAAGAAGACATTGTAAAGGCAGGCAGTGGCTCAGTCTGAAGGAACTGCGTCTGTGAACCGAAGGGTCGCCGGTTCACGTCCCGACCAGCTCACCTCCTGGTCACTGCAGAGGTGCCATTGAGCAAGGCACCGAAGCCACCAGCGCTCCCTGCTAGCTGTACGATACATGCCCACTGCTCCTAGTTCTAGGGTGGGTTAAATGCAGATGTCAAATGTTGTTGTGGGTGCTGTGACAAAATAAAGATTTGTATTATTATTAAAAATCTGTAAGAGAATAACAGAGATTGTGCCTCACTCATTAAAATAAAGTATACATGTTATCATATAGCATAAAAGAATATCAGTCAAATATAAAAAGAATACTTACTGAGAAATATTCACTGACCTAAGTTTAATAATGTAATAAAAAACATTTCAAGAAAAATACATTTACAGGAAACAAAAACCTTGGAAACAAAATTCAGTAAAATAATACTTTAAAAAGCAAGAAACCTAAATATTAAGAATAAATATAATAAAATATGATTAAAAAATGTGTAATTAGTAGAGACACTACATACTGATATACACCTGAACATCAGCAGGAGAGGACTCTTTAAAGTAGAGACACTACATACTGATATACACCTGAACATCAGCAGGAGAGGACTCTTTAAAGTAGAGACACTACATACTGATATACACCTGAACATCAGCAGGAGAGGACTCTTTAAAGTAGAGACACTACATACTGATATACACCTGAACATCAGCAGGAGAGGACTCTTTAAAGTAGAGACACTACATACTGATATACACCTGAACA